CTTCTGTAGTCTAGCAGCTTCTACATCCCTCTTTGCTGTCCATCACCGAAACGACACACATCATCAGTACTGGCTTTTAAACAACCTATAATCAAGCAGCTCTGTAACTTCTGACAAATGACAAAGTCAAAATACATCTTTGTGACTGAACTGGCACTTACTCACCAGGAGGTACGTGGAAAACTTCTCTCTCAGATCTGAAGAAACTTCGAGTTGACAAACAGGAAAATAAATGATGAGGGAAGGGAATGCAATGCTGACATTTTCAGGGGTGAGTGATGAAATACTTAATGGCAAAGGATCTCAGGAGGCTAATAGTACATTTAGTTTTATTTAATTTTCATATAACAAGCAATTGAATTGTGCTACTGACACTTGAGAGTCCTCAACCTTTTGAAAACAAAGGAGGAATTCAAGCATCGTTTAGTCAATCTACAATTCAAAGGCATTAAAAGATGAGTTGAAGTTTTTTTACTGTCCTTCCCGCACAGACTCCAGGGAGACAATGGAAGATGAAGCCTCTAAACTGTAATCAGTTTTGCCACTATTTACCATTTTATTCCTGACAGTGTACCGGGGAAGACATTAAGGCCTGTGAATAGGGTAGAGAATTAGTTTTAAGGAGGAAAACTTTTCACTTCCCAACTGCTGCTCATCATCCAGCTCTATTAGACGGTACCTGGACAGCAGCACTTTATTAATCTGCGATTACACCTAGCCCAGAGTGAGAGAATGGGGAAGGCTTGCTCTGGAGAATTAGGTGCTATAATAATTTGTTTTCTCAGTTCCTGGCTGCTAGTAGGCAAGTGCCCAAACCCAAGCTGACTCTACCTGGGAGCCGCTGAGCGCTCAAGGATTGAACGAACGTGGACTCTGAACCGGTCACCCCAGTTCCACCTGCTTTCCCTGCACTGCCTCGCTGCTACGTAGGAAACAGCCAGCCTTAGACTGTATACCTTAACGGAGAGAGAATTCACCACTCTGCTTCGTTGTTTAACCTCATGGTTAATTACAGTCATTGTTTTAAAAAAAAAAAAAACACAAAGCTTATGTTTTATTTCCACTTTGAACTCATCCGACGTGAGCTGCCAGCCGCTGCCCAGTTCGATATTTCAGCACACTGAACAAAACATTTTATCACCAGGCTTAGCAGCAACGTTTGAAAATGACTCCCGCTTGCTACCAAATACATCAACCACGGCTATCAATCATGATAGCAACATAACTGAATGTTAAAGGCCTGGAAGAAAAGAATACATTCCCAGTATTCTGTGGGGAGGCACACGATTCCCCAAGGGCTTGGAGAATATGATAATTTTTCCCCTTTCGCCCGATACTCAGGTAGCCAACAGAAAAGATTGGAGGAAGTCTCTGAATTACAGAGGTAACCAGGTGCCTGCGATAGAAGGGCATTGCTTTCTGTGGCCTTTGAATAGGACCTCACACTTCAGTAGAGGCACTAAGCGGATGCTGGCATGTCGATAGCTCCTCACAGCACTCCTGCAACGTACGGAAGGATTTTGCTCATTAGACAGAGAAGCTGCAGGAGGTGAAATATTTTTTTGCACCCTACACAATAATTCAGTGGCTCAAGGTTTAGACATGCTGATCTTGATTTGTATCGCTCTGGAAGTTGGATAAGCTGTTGGCATAAGAAGAGGGTCCAAATTATTTCTACTTTGATTTTACATCTAGCTCTGTTATGTATTGAGTCCATTGACTATCAGTTCCAACCTCAGCCCTCTCAAGATGCTACTGACAATATTTCTTCCTATCGACATTTGTACTGTTTCATTCACCACACACAGATATGATGAAGCCTGCAGACAGAGCTTTAGCTGGTTTAAACTTACGAAACATCACTGACTGGCGCAACCAAATGCACAGCAGAGCAAAGCCACTGTCCTAAAGCCCCGGTTGCATCCAGCACTGGAAAGAAAGTGTTAAAGGCAGCATGTGATGGGGTCTACAGGCAGCAAAGTTTGTATGCTGTTAGAGCTGCTTCGTTTTCTTTTCACTGTGTGTTGTTCCAAGACAAGAAGTCTCTACACCGATGAACCAAAAAAGGTTACATTAATAAATTAGCATGCAGATCCCCACCCCAGGAAAAGAGCAAGAGACAGACTCTGACACTGGCTATTTTCTATTTTTAACAGACTTTGGCAAGGCACTAGCATTCCGTTTAGAGTGAGCCAGAAGTTGCAGCAAACAGGAATTGTTATTGTTTACCCATTTTTACGCTCGGCCTCACACAGCTGACTCCCTAAACCGAGATTTGTTTCACCTTTTGTCTTAACACAAAATGGGAAAGCGGTAGATATGCTGCAATTAAATGAGGAAATAAAAAAAAACCCTGAGCATGATTTGGGCATTTAGAAGCCTTTCGTTATTTTTCATCTGCCAGTGACTTCAGCCAGAAAGTTCCTCGAGGAGGTTATTTGGTTATTTTTCACTAAAGGAAAGCAGCATTAATTTGCCGAGAAAAATTCTAGGTCGTGGATATGCCTGCTCACTCACGCTTAGCTGCAAAACAGCATTTTCTTTCTTTAGCACAACATTTTTGGTCTTAAAAACTGGTTGATATTGAAACAACTGCTCCACCTAGCTAGCTTGGAGGGACGCAGAAGCCATCCCGGAGGCAGCAAGACTCGCGCGTGATGCCCAGGTTGTAGCTGGGCTAGGAAGCAGAGGTTCAGCGGCTCCAACACAAAGACAGACCTCCTGCGGCATCTTCTGCATTGTCTTTGGGTTTTCTGACTCCATCTCACTTTGCTGCCCCATCACACACCCGATGGCCCAGGTCTTAGGGACCTCTCCCAGGCCAGAGGCAACTGGAAGGCTTCCCACCCTGCCGCAACTCCTATTTCTTCCCTGTGTCCTCCGGGCCATCGGCTCCGCTTCGAGGGCCGGAGCCAGTGCCACGGCGAGAAGACATCGCTTCGCGTTTCACAGCAGAGATGGTGTTCAGCAGAAGGAGCGAGTCATTAATCACACTGCACTCTTTGTGTCTCTGGGTCAGGCATATTTTGATACGTTCTCACACAGGCAAAAAACACCCTGAGAATTCCTCTCTGGCTGTTGCCGCTTGAAAGCATTTGCTGTAGCTTTGTTTGACAAAGATGGGAAGAAAAAGATTCAAAATGAAGTTCAGCAGCTCTCAAAATTAAACTAGAACACCCTCTGATTGCATAATTAGCTTTTCCTAAGTCAGGGGAGGTCCAACGAAGGGATCGATCCCTGTAAAGCTTAGGAGCTGCTTACAGACATAGTTAAACTGCAGAGGATGACAAACATAGCGATGCCTAAATCTTCCACAGTATTTCTTTCGACATGCACATGCTTACGATTTTTCCAGGGGGAAGCAGGAAGACAAGCATTTGTCAGTGCTAAAAGTTCTGTTTATTATAAACTTGACTTTAAAGTCCAAAACAAGCCAATTATGTTTTCTGGGAAATTATTTTTCTTCCTGTGCTCAAAGTGATTACTGACACTGGTATGATAGAGCCACTGTTGGGTTTTGTTTCCTTTCTTTTAAAGGAGGCAAGAAACAGCCTTTCCCCTTGACAACATATGACAAATATTTTTCTCTTTCTCTGGTTGTAGATTCATTTTGCAAAACCGGTCTTAGAAGTGCTGTTAGCCCTTATTCCCACCCCGGCATCACACAGAGTTTAGTTTTCTGGTTCATTCATATTCAGACAATATCGGTTTTATTTCTAAGCGAAGTACCAAATAAGAGAATTACAGGATCTTGTTGCAAGGGCCACTTCGCAGTGGCACTCAAGAAAAGCAACAAATCTCTAAACAATTCTCCGTAAGCAGCAGTGTTGACTCTCTGATACCTTAAATACGTCTCTGTAGTTTTGTAATAACAGCTCTCCGTGAGCAAATCTCTTAAGCATTTACTGACATCCTATTCAAAGCATTTAAAGTTAAAAACTTGCTTCTACAAGCAGTAAGGAGCTCAAGTTGCAGTTAAACAAAAACCCAAAGGTTTGGCATTAGGAAAAATGTTCCCAAGATTTTAAATCAGCAGATAACTCATAATTAAATCCTATGTTATCATACATCATAATCTATTTTTTAAAAACTATATTAGTAATGCTATTGAATTTTCAATTCGTATGGTCACTTGAAGTTGACTGCTGTTGTGCCAAGACAACGAGGACTAATGAATGCAAAGTTTTTGGCTCTGCCACTGATACGCTGAATAAGCTTTGTCAAAAGATTTCAAATCTTTTGAACGTTATCCTGCTTTCTATAGAAGAAAAAGTCCCATAGTGCTTTCCTCACTAAGGAGCCATCTAAGTTCTTGCTCTTTGAATTGTCTCTGGGAGGCAACCTTGCAAGTATCCATCAGTATATATATCTCTATCTCATGGCTGCCCATGAGACCCTCCCCAGCATTCAATGACGTAAGAAGGAACCTTTTCTTTAACTTCTCTGAATTCTAGATGCTTTCTATGAGACAGAAAAATGTGGATAGTTAGATTTTCTGAAGGTTTCAAGGGAAAATGAGTACCCAATACTGTATCATTTTTAAGACTTTTAGCTGGAATGCAGTCAACTCAGTAATCTTACTTTTCACTTACTCTGACTTCTGAAATGGTGTGATTTTCTTGCCATTTGAAACCCCTTTTGATGACCTCCTGGATATGACTGTTATTTGGCTAAATAATCTTGAATTAGAAGTCCTGGAGGAAGCAGTTTTCCTCTGTCACTTGGTATCAGTCCTCTCGCTTGCCTCTCTGGCTGTAAATGGGAATACAACGCTTGAATAATAAAGTAGATGTCTTGAATTGATTTCTGATAGAACATCCGTGTAATTGTATGACACCATATATTCTGAAAGACTTGTTCCTGCAGGAATTGGCCTTCCAGTCATAAATTTTCCAAGACAGAACAGAATCTTATTTATTTTTTCCAGTGTTTGAGTTTCTTTGGTTACCTGCAATTTTTCACTGCCTCTGCCTTAATACTCTGTGTATTTTCCATTTTAGGTTCTTTCTTTCCTGCAATCAAACCCCCGGACACACTTTTTAAAATAACATTTTGGCTTGGATATTTAAACAGCTGCATCAACCCCATAATCTATCCGTGCTCAAGTCAAGAGTTTAAGAAAGCATTCCAAAACGTCCTGAGAGCGCAGTGCCTCCCAAGGAAGCAAGCAGCAAAGAAGCAATCCCCAAGTTTCAACCTCAACCATCCCACTAGCCAAAGCATGGAGAGCGGCAAAGGTGTGGTCCGCATCCCTGTCAGCTCGGGAGAAACCTTCTATAAGATTTCCAAATCGGATGGGGTCTGCGAATGGAAGATATTTTCCGCTGTGCAAAGCGTGCCTGCAAAAAGTGCGGTTTCTAAAGACTGTACCGCTGCCAAAGCAAAAAGTAAAGGTTTCCTCCAGGAATGCTGCTGTGCAGGCACTTCAGGGAACCTTGTCCATGAAAACTGCCAAGGGCCAACCGTTAAAATACACACCATCTCCCTCAGTGAAAACGGGGAGGACGTCTAAAGGACGGAATGTGCCTAGCGGCATGGGCTGGCAAGCTTGTGGCTCTGCCAATGGGATGTTGCTCTTTTTATTGGGAAGTGGAAGTAGATGTAGATGCTACAAGAGTTGAAAGGATCCAGGTGAAACAAATAGCATACTGCAAAACAGGGCCAAATCTTTTGAGTGATGCCTTTGAGTGCTGGTAGCCTGAACGAAGCCCCTTAAAGACAGTGAATGTCTTCAGTGGATGGTGAGCACCCTACGGTCTTCCGAGAGACTGGCCTCTACAAGTCATTTGCCTGACATTTAAAGGCCTGCTTTCCGCTGTATTTGCCTGTTTCAAAGTTCCTACCACTCTGATTTAGGTGCAATGTGGGAGAAAGAGCAAACTACAAAGACCCCCATGCTGATTTCAGCATGGATGCTTTCAGACAGCTCCACATTTAGAGCCACTTTGTGATTCTGCCCCCCCCAAAAAAAAGCTAAATCTGGATTCAACAGCCAGGAGAGCTGAGGTTGGGAGGCTCAGGTCTTGGGACAGTGTTTACAGATCTCTGCTTACTTTTCATTAAGGGGCTGTGGACAAGAATGTTTTCCTACCATGTTTTGCCTCTTTTGTTCAGGTCCAGGTCCTGGCTTGGTGAGGTCGGGGCTGCACCAGGTGGGGATTTGGCCTTCTGCAATCCCGCAAGGCCACTTGTCCTCAACCTCTCTGGACAGGCAGTCGCTTTAGCTACAGGGCATTGCAAAAACACTCTTGGCTCTCGTCCTGCTTGGAGTCGCTCTGTTTCCCTTTGTGCTGTGGATTTCAGTAAACTCCATTGCCAAGGGAAACTCGACCCAAGTGGCTGCACTCCACCTAGCTTCAGAGACAAGCCAGAACTTCTCTTTTTGTACAACCAACCTCCCAAATCTCCAGATAAAACCAACCGAAAATTTGCATGCATCCTAGGTTTGTTTGGAAGGCCTCCGCGCCTTGAAGCAGGTCTAATAAAATTCAAAACTAGGTAAGTCATCATCAAATAAGGCTCAAAGAGGTCACTTTCACTTATTCATTTGTTTTGCTTGTTCTGAGTCCAGCAGGGACCCGCTAAAAGACTCAATAACTCTTGCGCTTGCCGCAGTCGCAGGAAAAGCTGCAGAGGCTTTGCTGTCTCCCTACCCAGTGTTAGGCTACATTCCTTCTCTGACTCCTTCAATACCAAGTGCTCCAAGCTCTCTCTGAGATCCTGGGTACCCTGGAATCAGGAACCTTACCCTCATTCTGAGCAGTGGGAGTGAGCACGTTAAATGACTTAAGGACATACGTCCCCATGAGAAAGGGCCATCCTCTGGGAATTTGGGAGAAAAGCATCTGGAAGCACGTTACGTTTTAATATAGCTAATCCAAATAAATAAATAAATGAGCTGTTCAGCATCTGGAAAAAATAGTGGGAGGAATTCTCTGTACAATATTAGAAATAAGCAGCTCTTGACATAACTCCTCCTGAGCCTGCCAAGTAAGAATGCAGCTTCTTGAAACAACACATAAGCCTTTACTCATGTCTCAATGTCAGCTCCTGTGCTGAATATCTACTGGCTTGAAAAGGGAAAGGGCTTAAGCTAAGGTTAGCTTTTACAGGATAGGGCCTTGAAAGGACACCTTGATATTATTGATGAGGACTCGTCGTTTATTCAATTCTCATTCAGTAGTAAGTTCCCAATGTCAAGAGAATTTCAGTCTTTTGTGTCTTTTATTTATGCATGAATGAGATTTCTTTCCTCCTGCAAACACGTATTTGCAGCTAGAACGTTATCGGCAATCTGCAAAATTAAAATCTGATCCTTGGAGTTCTTGCAATACTCTTGCTTTGCACAGTCCTGGAAGCAGAAAGCAACGTCCAAGTGTAAATGCACTTCACATCTGTACGTGGCCAGGATGCTAATCAGGCACTGCCACTGTAAACAGATGTTGAGCTGCAAGTGAAAGAAGAGAGTAGGTCGACCTAAGCCTGTGTTTTGTGTAGACAATTCACAGAGGCAGAACAAGCCAGCTAATTTTGCCCCTACGTTTGGCCCTGTTCTTAATGCATTAAAATTATTATCAGCGCACCTAGGAAACCTATTACAAAGTGCCCATTTACAGATCTTGATAATCTTGCAGGATCAAAAGTAAAATCTGTAAAAGTAAGAAACACGTCTTTGGGCAGATTCACCGGTATTCACTCAGACACCACCAGCCTGATGGGACTGTGTCAGAAAACCAGAAAGGTGTATAAGACTGGGAAAGTTGGCATCTTTTTTTCTGGCGTAGTAACCAAGAATGCTTTGGGTCCCATATGTGCCAGTAAAATTTCCTTGCAGCACTTGCTGCCTAGCATATATGTCTTATAGGTGTTTTCAGGTGCTAATATGTCACACCAAGCAGAGGGCTTGCTTCGCCCAGCCTTCAAACAAACGAGTATGCAGTGATGGGGAAAACGAAGGTAACAGTTCTCAACTCAGCCTGCAGTGGTCCTGAAGACATTGGGAAGACACTTGAATTTAGAAGTACGGTGTTTTTCAGACCATTAAGCTTTTGTTGTGTTTGGTGGGCCAGTGAATGGCACTGTCTACCTCTTCTAATACTGGGAAAATTAAATGTCTAGCTTAGCTGATTAGCTGAAGCAAATAGTTATTTGTTCTCCCACATGAATGCTGCATAAGAAAGATACAGAATGTCCCAAACAGGTTAAAATTAGAGAAGATTTCAAATCAAGTCCTTGGACCCCAACCCTTATTTATTTCCAAAAGCATGCACTCACAGACAGCAAACCTGTAGCATTACCCCATTTTTAGTTTAAATAAGAAACCCACCCCCTAAAGCTTTTCTTAGAGTTTTTTAATAAAGTCTAGAATTTGAAACCAGAAGTGTTGAAATACCACGAAAAAAAATATTCTCATGGTACTTCAAGCCAAGACCAGGAGCAGAAAAGCTGGAAATCTCATAAGAAAGTCACGTGAGACTCGGGGCTGAGGTTTTCAGTCTCACGGGGTTCAAATACGTGGGACATTATTTGAACAAAACCTGAACTCTGAAACATTTTGAAAAACACCCATTAAATTGAACAAAACCAGCAGATATAAAACCAGATATAAAATCTCCACCGCACACACTCGCTGCCCAACCCTGTCTGTATACTTGTTTTATAACTTGAACCAGTAAGGTCATTTGTGCCATCTCGCCTTTGGAATGGGGAGATTTGCACAGGGTCTCTCCAGTAATTTTAGATTTGTTGGGGTTTCATGGTGTCAGGCAAGGGGTTGGTGCGGAGCTCCACGCAGGCTGACACAAATGGATTAGTCATTGCACTCCAGAGCAATTCTGAAGTAGCAATATCATCTGGATCTGTGAGATGAACATAAATAAATCCGCATGCTGGTGGCAATGTCTGGATAGACAGGCACAGCAGTCCTGCCTGTGAGAGGCAGAGGTTAGAATAATGAAGCCTTGGTCTCATCCTTTTTTTCTGTCATCAAACAGATGCTAAAGGACCTCTCTCTGTCCAGCAACTCTGAAAAGCGCTCAGACCTCAGCATCAGGCAAGCCTGGTCCCAGCCACACCTCTGATGCTGTCACCTTTGCCAGCAAAAACAAACACACGATTTGTTTGGCTCACTCAGAGAATTTCTGCATGCAAACTGCCCTGTTCCCTTGTTGCAAGCAGGGTCACAGGCACTTGTCATCTTGATAGATGTTTGGACTGACAAGTCTCAAAAACCATAGAAGGAGATCTGGGGCGGGGGGGAAGAAAGAAAAAAGAAAAGAATGCAGATCTAAGCAGCCCATATTTTTCTGTTATTTAAAGTGAACTTGGCAGTGGTAAAAGAGCTGCAGCCACAGAGGCTGAATGTACCTGTCTATCTAAAAAGCACCAGCAGTACAAGAGATTTCCCAGTGGTTTGCCATCTATCATCATGTGTAAAATCTTTCTGCGGTCAGGACTCTGTCATGTGAAATACCGTAGGAGCACGGAGCAGAGAGCAGAAAGTGGCCAGAAGGGAAGTGAGAACACAGTGGAATGCCATGATTTTCCCCTTCAAGCCACATGCAGTTCACCACACTGACCTGTCAACTGATGTGTCCTGACCGAAATCTTTGAGGGACAAGTATGACGTCCCTCCATCCTCTCTGTTCAGCATTTTCTGTTCAGGGCGACAGCCAAGATTTCCATCTTGAGTGGAGCAGAAAGTCTCTGCTGCAAAGAGTTGAGAGCTGGAGCATCATATATCTGACTTTTAATTTACGCAGGTTGAGGCTAAGCAGATCACCAATCTCTCTTCCTCACAGGGCAGGGAAAGTTCAGTATTCCAGTTTCCACAGTTAATGTTCATTCAGATTTACTGTCTTATGTTTTTGAGGCTTCATGTACTCTGTAAGATTATTCAAATCCCAGATACTTAAGATCTGCCCACTATCCAAATAAACGTGTCCTCGGGGTTTTTTTTATTATTTTGCTCTGCCAAGTCCAAGGATAAATTATGTATTGTGTAAAAGAATATTTTCCTTTGCCAGGCTTTAATATCTTAAAAATCCATGGCATTGAAAAGAGGAAAGATTGAGCTAGGAATATTTCTTTCTTTTCTACTCATCAGAGTCAACAAATGGATTTCACAAAGCTTCTTCAGTCTTACTCGCAAAATTTCCCTGCCTGACTTTTTCAGTTTTCTGAAAGGTAACAATGACAGACTGGAGTATCGTATGCCGATTGAAGTCAGTTAAAAAAGACCTTATTGCTTCACTGAAGTGGAAGTCCCTTAGTTCTAGGTGTGCCTGTTGGCCTCATGTTAACCAATGCCTATGTCTGAATGGGTCTTCATCAGGCACCCCATTTTAGGATAAAGGTACTGAGGCACAGAGCGACTCAGTGATTCGCTCGAGGAAGGTTTGAGCTGCCCCGTGTTGAATCCATGCTGGGTAATTAACTCTGGATCCCACTCAGAGATACCTTCGTCTTCTTTCCTCTCTTAACATTGTTTGGATAAGCAAGACAATGCACAAA